TGCCCCTTTTCCAGCCAGAGAAGCCCAGGATAAGAGCCAGGCGGAGTGATGTGTCGGGCCATACACATCTCCCTGCTCGGCTCTTAGCAACCTGGGACGCTTTGGCCTGCACTCTGTCCATTCTGGCAACCAGTGGGCAGGACGCTGGCCATTGTGTCCCAGGTTTCTAAGAACCGTGCAGGGAGATGCAGAGCCTGCTCTCTCGTGTCTGGAGGCGCTGTCTCCTCTACCCCACCTCCCGCTGCTCTGATTGTGTGCAGTGCACCACCAGCATCACCCCCCCCCCCCTGGCCAAATGGCTAGGGGCACCCCTTCTGGATACTGCAGTCTAAAAACAATGAACAGAGGTGTCCCCTGCACGCCATACAGCAATCTGAACCTATTGATGCTTGAAATAGCAATGGTGCTTGCAGTGATGTCCTCGGATGGCGCCTGCAAATCCAGAGATAATAGTCATGAAGATCACCTATGGTATGGAGGAACTCGAGTGTCCTGCACAGAGCCCTGACCGTAACCCTACTGAACACCTTTGGGATGATTTGGATTGTGAGCCAGGTCTTCTCATTTGGTCTCCCCTCCAAATGATGGCGTTCAGGTGTCTCCAGTGAAGGTTCTGGTAATACTCCATCACACAAAGACATCGTAGACATTTGTGGTCTTCCAGCCTTGTGGTCAGAGTTAGGTGAAAACCCTTTTCTGTTCCACCACCACTGTCCCCTGTGTACAAAGCCAGCTCCATAAAGACATGATTTGACCAGTTTGATATGGAGGAACTCAAGTGTCCTACACACCTTTGGAGTGAATTGGTACTTCCGATGGTGAGCCAGGTCTTCTCATCCAACATCATTACCTGACCTCACAAATTGGACAAATTCCCACAAGCACCCTCCAAAACCTTGTGGAAAGTCTTCCTAGGAGAGTGGAGGTTGTTGTAGCTGCAAAGGATGGCCAACTCCATATTGTAGGCCATGTGGAAGGGGCAACTCCATATTAATGGAAAGCCTTTGCAGAAAAGTGGGGGATGTTATAGCCACAAAGGGGGGAAACTTCATATTAAAGACCATTGGGGGAGCAAGTCCATGTGAATGTCCATGGGGTGGTGGGCAACTCCAAAATAATGGCCATGGAGGCGGAAGCAACTCCATATCAATAGCCATGGTTAAAGCAATGGAGGTCCATCTGAGATGGTTGAGTCTGCAAACTTTTATCCATATAACGTACATGCAAGCACCTTCAGGAATCTTTTAAGATATTAATAACATTTCAAAATTAAATTTCAATATTTTTCAATGTTCCGTAAAATAATCTCGGGTGATGCCACTATGGAGGTCCTCGTTCAGGCACAACGCTTTACCCTGGTCTCCCAACTGCATTGTCACGTGGGCTTCCGATGGAGACAACGGTATCTCTATGCATATTTTAGGAATTTATTCAACGTTTCCCTTGAAAGTGGACTCAGTGGCAAGGCTCGCTTATTCATTGTTCCCCCAGCATAAAAGTACCCGTGGGGATGGAATGGATAATATCCTTACCTTTCCCGGACTTGTCATCCTCCTGCCGGCAAGACCATTTTGAATGACGGGTAGCCCAAAATCTTGCACAGTGCAGGATCATCTTCTGGGCTACTCAACAATCTCCAAGATCTGGCCAGAAAGGGTTATGACGTTACCCTCGCCTAGGCACCGAGGAAGTCAGGGACAGGCAAGTACTGTATATTATCTAATAATATTCCACCTACAGGTTTTATTTAGCATTTTCGGGAGGGGGGAGAGTAATAAGCGTCCCTTATGACCGAGTTGAAGACCCGCTTTAAGCTCATATTCGCGGCACGCAAAAAATTAAATTGCCCGCTGCGGCATTCACACATCTACGTTTTAATAATTCATAACAGACGGAAACTCTCAAAGTTCAGCAGCTGTGCACAGTTTGAAGAAACTATTTGTTTTTTTTTCAGCGGCCACCAGATGGAGTGTTGGCTCAGGGAACCATGTTGGGTTACGTAAAGCTTTTACAAATATGTTCAACCGAAGAAAAAAAAAGCGGCGACCAGAGCGGACGGAATTATTTTGTACATTTTGTTTTCCGTTTTTAAATCAAGTTAATTGAAGATTTGTCTCTGAACTAGCTGTAAGTTCGCTTCGCACGCTGTGCAGACGATGTTTAATATATGTCCTGGATCAGCTGGATGGGGAAACTCTAAATTACAACGTTTGGAACTTTGGGGCATAACGAGGGTTTTGAAACTTCCTCTCTTCCGCCCACAGGCGCTGCGCTCCTCGGTCGGAAGCACATGCGAAATCTCGCTAACACCCAATGATTAACTCCTTTTTCAAGGTTTAACGAAGACTAAAAAAGGAAAAGTCCCCCGTTTTAGTATTGGTTCTTATGAAAACGTGGCGTCTTGCCTCTTGAGTGAATAGCAAAGTCTGGGGCTCCGGACCCAAGTTGTGGAACGTTAAAAGGGAAATTTTTTATTTCTCAGCCCTCTCCCCACCCATTGATTCTGCCGGTAGGTCTGTTTTTAATAAGGTGACAACACTGTTGCCTCCGCAGTGAAATAGCAGCAGTGTTGTCACTCTAGTCTTAGATGGACATGGAGTTTTAAGTGCATCATTGGTAACCACCAAACATGTTGCAATTTCTACTTTTTTATTACAGCAAAAAACATTTCAACCTTATGAATAAGAGCTGGCAGTGGTAGGCACCCCTGGCAGGGTTATATGGTTTGTCCCAACCCCTGTAACTATCACTTTTGTTCTTGTAATGTTAATGGTGGACCATGCCCAATGGCATCACAAGGGGGGTGCGGCCTGCACCGGGTGACACCAAAATGACTGATAGTCCTTTTGGTGTAACCCCCTGTTAAAAATCGGGCACTTGCTCATGAAACGAGAGAGAGAGAGGGGGTGACCCAGTTGCATACCTGCATACCTGATCCCGTCGGATCAATATCCCCTCCTCTCTTTGCTGGCGTCCATCACCAAAATGGCTGCTGGCATTGAAGTAAATCACAGCACATGCATGATGACGTCACACCACGGATGTCATAACGCATGCACGGCGGCTGCACAGAGTGACACCCACCCTGGTGCCCCTACTGACCATGCCTGCTCGATGTGTGTTGGCATGGACGTTGTATAGCCTCAGATAGGTGCTCATGTAACAATTGGGGGACAGTTGTCACTCTTTGAAGGGAAGTGCCTGATGAAGGACCTCCATGGCAGGATCAGCGAGTTTTATTTAATTAAAAGCGGTAGATTTCATAGGATTAAAGCTGAACTGTTTGTCTTGTGCAGTTATGATATAGTCTAACCCACAGATGCAGGTAAGATGGGCGTGCCTGGCTTGGCACGATGAACACTAAATCTTTGGCATCATTATTGTGCAAGCACACTTCAAAGGAAAGGAAGAAGACAAGCATTCACGTATACATCTAAAGTAATCCAAACCCAATTACTGAAATCTATTTTTCCTTCCCTGGTTCCCTCCTCATTCATTACATACCTTACTTTAGACCCAATGACCTCATCGCTGGTCTCTGTGCTTCTCGATGCAATGCAGGCAGATCATGGTTGGTTGGTAGGGGCACGTAGGGTGCTGTGCATGGCTTCCTGAAAACATCACAGCACCCTGTCTCAGTACACCCCTCATGGGCCCTCATGGAAGCTGTGGGCTGGCCCTTAGGAGGAGATGGTGCAAGCAGTGGGCTGGCTCTTAGGGGGAGTTATGCAAATATCAGAATGCCTTGGTGAAAGGGGCAGGCCAGCGACAGTCAGGCTAAGGGAGGAGATAAGTCTAGATAATGCTGGACGTCCTCCAGTCAGGAAATGAGGCGGAGCTCTATCTGACCTGCTGCAGCTTCTAATGCACATTGTGAGAAGCTCCCAGTGTGCAGTGATAGAGGAAGAGGAGAGGAGCCGGTACAAGTACAAGTGTGCAAGACTGATGGACGGAGGTCAGATATAAGACTGAAGGTGAAGGACGGAGGTCAGATATAAGACTAAAGGGAAGGACGGAGGTCAGATATAAGACTGAAGGGAAGGACGGAGGTCAGATACAAGACTGAAGTGAAGGTCGGAGGTCAGATATAAGCCTGAAGGGAAGGACGGAGGTCAGATATAAGACTGAAGGGAAGGACGGAGGTCAGTTATAAGACTGAAGGGAAGGACGGAGGTCAG